TAACATTAGCTCGCCCAGATAGTTAACAATGCAGAAATTATACCTAGCAGTTATTGGGTGTAAAATCAAGCAAAAACTAATCAAGGTGTAACAACTAGTTTGTGTGGTGTAAACTGTTTTAAATTAGCAATGTGTAAACAATTACATTTGAAATTTTTACTAAGTAAAGAATTACTTTTGAAGTTGGAAATGAGGCACCTGGCTCCCTGCAGCTGTCTCTAACAAGGGTTAATGGGTAACAGTAACATGTCATGTGGGCAAATCCATTTCCTTGGAATGGATTATAAACAAACAAATAAATAAATAAATCTGAAATCACAGGCACGAGTCCCTTTAAACAAATTTAAATACTACTAATTTATGTACACACAAATATCTAGTACAACTGTTTTACCCTAATATATCAACTAACATCTTGCTGCTGTTTTATGATAATGACATAATGCAATACTTTTCTATCTGAACACCAGGACACATTTCAGGACACATTTAACTTTCATAATAAACATTTGTATAAACTATAGTAATATGGCATTAATGCAAAAAAGCACATACATAATTAAATAGTGAATAATGCGACTAACCTATGGTTCAGCATAATGATAAATATCATTATAATTAGGATGCTTCAGGTCTCAAAACACATCTATTAATTATCAATGCATACTTCATAAGTAAAAGAAATACACACACACAAAGCACTCTTATCCCATTAATCAAAACAAAGTTCACATGAACCAATCTGCAGGCTGCACCTGATCACATTTATTTTAATTGGCTAAAATGAGAATAACCTTTACTCTAATTGGCTGTGAGAAATGTGCCACAATGTGTGTGTGAATTAATGTAGGTAATATGTTTAAATGCAAGGAGTAAGTGTATGTGCATCCATCTTTATACCTGCCCACAGTCATACTGTATGTGCATACATGTCCTCTGGCACTGTATGGTGACAGCTTGTGTGTGTGTGTGTGTGTGTGTGTGTGTGTTCTGGTACTTGCTATATAATGAGGACCAAGAAAGTTTTTTTATGCTACAGAGTGAGGACATTTTTGGAAAGTGGGGACATTTTGGCCGGTCCTCACTTTCTGAAATATCTTTTTGAGGGTTAAGTCTTGGTTTTAGGGTTCAGGTTAGGGTCAGGGTTTGGCATTTAGTTCTGATAGTTAAGGTTACGCTAAGGGGCTCGGGAACGCATTATGTCAACAAGTGTCCTCACAAAGATAGAAGTCCATGTATGTGTGAGTGTGTGTAATGTGTACTGGGAGTCATATACATTACTGTCTACTGGGAGATCCTTCTTTGAGAGAGTAGCATTTAGTTTCCAGGTCATTATTGCAATCTCAGGGCTCAAGAGAATAAGGTGCCACCACCATGTTGCCATGGTGATGCAGCCTCGGGAGAGAGGGGACACTGGTACAATACAGTGTCATCTGGTCTATAAATCACTTGGTCACTCTATACTATATTAGATTCTTATATATTCTTTAATGGCCTTGATGTAGGTTGACTAAAAGCTTTTATTTTAACAAAACCTCCAACAGCACAGAATCTCATTTTCAGTCAGACACTGTCACTGGTTGTATAAACAGTAAAGCACATAAGAAATTGCTGTCTAGTGCTGGATAAAAATACAAATTTTTCATTATATTTTTAATTCTTATTTGAATGATCTAATATCAAGTCTTGAAATCCTGAGATCAGTCTTTGCATTTCTTTTTCTCAGTAAACGTACATCTGTGCAAAATGTTATGTGTATACAGAGGTTACTTGTTATGGCTCAGTTCTACCTGCAAAGTGTGTAAAATGTCTTCTTTATTTAAAATGAGTTGTTATAATGCATACAAAAGCTCTCTGATGCACTGCTCATACAACCTAGTTAGTGCAGATTTTGTTGCACGTGTGATTAACGAGTAATCCTTAGGGATAATGGATTAACTACAGCAGGTTACAACAGAACATTTAACTAATATTATACTGAAGGAGACAGCGTTGCTCAGTTGTTTATAGGCTGGTATAAAGTACATGTTGCAGAATACTTTAACATTGTGGAAAATATGCTTATTTGCGTTTTTGCTGAGAGGTATGGTGCATCTGCAGCTACTGAGAGCAGCTGCTCAGCTGAGTTAGCATAAAGGCTAAAAACAGGGGAAAGCAACTAGACCGACAGTGTCCAAACATAACACAATCTGCCAGCCAGCACCTCTAAGACTCACTAATATATCTTGTTTCTTCTGCACAAAGTCAGCAGTGTCAAGTCAAATTTCAGTAACTTGGCTTTTCTTAATTTTAGTCCACAAAAACGGAGAACATTTTATTCTAGTTGTTGTTATGAAAACATGCAAACTCCACACACAGAAAGACCCCAGTCGGCTGGTTCAACCTGGAACCTTCTCTCTGTCAGGTGCCGCTCCCTTTCCCTTCATATGTTGCTTTAATCTCTTATTTCTGCATCATTTTCATTTCATTGTCAGTTGTTTTGCTAACACTTCACTAAGAAGCACCTGTGGTGAAACGGTTTCCTGTTTTGTGTGGCAATTACTAAATTCATTTGTATTTCTATCTTGATCCAAGGAACTGAAATAGAAATTTGTAAACACAATTAAAAGCTGAATGGCTAAAGCCCAAAAAGGAAGACAGAAAGGGATATGATTCCCTCTGCAGACAACAAAGGGTAAAATGCCAAAAGTCTTAAAAAAATATAAACAAAAACAGGCTGGCAGTCGCATCAACACAACAGAGATTGTTACACTGGCCCAAACATTTGAGCCTCATTTCTGTAGTATCATCCATGAGTAGTGCTGGGTATCGAACTTCAGTACTTTTATAGCATTGATTAATTTACTTCAATACCATGGGGAATTGAAAAATGTGTTTATTTTATTTTTATTTATTGATTATTTAATTTACACACCTAATATTCTGACCCTCTCACGTATGTAGCTGGGGAGAACAAAAATATAAAGACACCTCTGAACATAATGTAGTTCAGTACAACACCACCTTTAACTATGACCTCAATAATAAACATAGAATTGAATTTATACATTTATGACAATTTCATCAAAAACAAACATTATGAGCTTCATAAACACTGATGTTAAGGCGGAAGTGTTGCACTGAAATGCATAGAAATGTACAGGTGTGCCTAATAAAGTGGCAGTTAAGTGTGTGTGTGTGTGTGTGTATAAATATATATACATACACTATATACACAAGTATTTGCTCGCCTGACTCCACATGCACATGAACTTGAGTAACAACCGATTCTTAATCCATAGGGTTTAATATGATGTTGGCCCACCCTTTGCAGCTATAACAGCTTC